AACAGGAGCTGGCAACAGATACAGTACAACATCTGCTCCAAATTCCATTACAACCCCAAACGTACTGTCTAACCCTGCTTTGTCTGGAGTTCCCACTCTTCCCCCTGCTCCTAGCCCCCCCTCTTGCACTATCTCCCCCTCTGAGGGCAACATCCTCACCCCCTTCACCATCAACTGCACTTCCAGCACCTGCCCAGAGACAGTCTGCAAGTATTGCTTCCGTCCCAGTAAAGGTCAGTGTCTTTGCAGGACAATGTCCGTTTGCTATTGTCGACGCAACAGCTCTGCTGAAATGAAATGTTTTGCATTACACACAGGTCATAATGTAGAGCTGCAAAACTTCGTATTATACGTGTTGTTATTCACAAAGCTTTCATTCATTAAAAAATGAACTCTTTAACAACGTCTGGCAGTACAATATATACAGAAGTATCGGCCCAATTTGTACAGCTCAATATCTTAAAGGTGACTGGTTGATACAAACCTGAAATGAAAGACCCTATTCTTCTCCTCTCTGTAGAATGTTCAAAAAAGTGGCTTTGATCCTCAGTGTAAATAAAAGGTTTATTTTTCTGAATGAGAATACTTGATTGTACATAACAGTTATATTTCAAACTCTAATGTCATACCGATGTGTTAATTAAATTAGATATCTGCAGTTCAGTATCATTCAGTTTGTCCTGAATTGCACGACGGCCTTTTCTTAACATTCTCTTTCCCTGTTGCCTTCTATTTCAGATATCAGCTTACAGTGTGGCAATAAAAAAGTGGTGCAGTCTGTTTTCCTTCCCTTAGGGGACAAACAACGAAATTACATGCTAAGCATTGTAGTATCTGTATGGGACAGAATGCAGCAGAGCAGCAGCAGCCATGTGACTGTTGTGGTATGATGTAATTCAGTTTATCTTTATCCATTCAAACTCTGTATGAGTATCTGAAGTTCCCATAATCGTGGATTGGCATTGAGGTTTGTGTTCCTTTTGGGGACAGATTGATGGTTAGGCTAGGGGTAGATTTGGAGTCACCTTTTGGAATTAGTGTACCATTTTGTCCAGTGATCTGCGAATTCACAAGGATAACCAGTCTGTAAGTGGATCTGAAGTCTGAACAATACAAAAATTCCAGGAAGACAAAAGTCATCGTGGTGCAACATTCTTGCAAAAATTGGTTTTACTTCTTTCATTGGTACTACAGTCTGAAGTGTTTGACAAACTAAAAGGTGTCAGCTGAACAAGAAATGAATTGGGAATGCTGTTTCATTTAGCAATGGATTAGCTACAGTTCAAACCTAGGGAGTCTATTGATGAGCCTCCATTATCACAGCAGGTCTGCTAAGGGGTTTGATATACTGTAGCTAAAAGAACAAGGAATATAGACTCCACCCAAAAAGCAATACAAGAAGGCTGAAGAGCATACAGCTTCAGAGATAAGTGGGAATTACAGAAGAGCATTTTATCAGTGCAAATACAACCAGTTTTAGTTCTTCAATTGAAAAACTCACTTTCGTATTTTATCACAGACAAGTCAAACAACTGATAAAGAGATAGCAAAAATTAAGTACTTCTTAATGTCTAAGTTGATGTATTATTTCTTTCCCTTTTTTCCCCTCCAGGTGAAAGATGCTACCACTGACTCTGACGTCAAGAAGCTTAAGGACATGCTGACGGAACAGGTGTCCTCCCTGGAGCAGCAGGGCGTGCTGTCTGAGTCCATGCTGGCTCAGATTTACCAGTCTGTGACGTCTGAGCTGAATAAAGAAACTGATGTGCAGGAGAAAAAGTCTAGGATGGAGGTACAGTATGTGGAGTACAGCACATGTGTGCCAGTGTATGAGTGTGACTGCATTTCTGTATGACAGAAATCAAGTCAGATGTGTTAATACAGTATGTTTTTGTCAGTTTCTAAGACCCAGTTAGCACCTGACCTGTTGTACTAACCTTGGCAAACTGCAAATTACATACTGTACCTTGCACCTGATTTTATATTTAACAGACACTCCTTTCTCCTTCTTTCTACACAATGAAACTACTGTTGGGTCTCTATGCTTGTAATTTGTTATTGGCACATAGATCAAAGACAAAGACCAGAGAAATCCAGACCAGAGTTAGTTTAGATTGCAGAAAAAAAAATATATTGACAATTATGATAAATCAATGTGAATCTTTTTGTGAATTGTATGCATTGTTTTAGAATATCTACCATAAACTACTTCTTATGCTTATCTTTTGGCACTAAAATGAAAAGGCAATCAAGTAACAAGAAATCAATTAAAAATAGCATTCAGCTAATTTGCTCCGGCACAATTTGCTTAATAACTTAAATCAGTGATCTTCACTCCTGGTCATGGAGAGCCACAGAGACTTCTGTGTTTGTTCCAACTTGATTTCTTATTGTATTTGTTTCAGTTCCCTATAAAATGTGAAGAGCTGCAGATCAGCAGGACCAGGAGTTAAATTTGAAGCGCTGGTCAAACTCTCAAAATAATTCTTTCTCTGTTTCTCATGAAGATAAGTGCAAGGTGAAATGCAAGTTTTCCCTGATCTCTGTCTCATCTCTCCCTAAGCTGCGAGAAGAGATGCTAAATAACCTGACCACAAGTTTCTCTGGAATCTCTAACAAAACCGCCCAGGAAATACAGGTGATGGCTGAAGCCCTGAATGGACTCACAGAACACAGTGACGAGCTCACACCCTCTTCCCAGGTACTGAAGAAAGCAGAGCATGAATAGGGGTACTTGGCAGTAACTAGCACATTGAAATAAGGGGATAAGATGCCTTTACTGTTGGAACTATCTGGGATTTGGAGATAAAGTCTATTGAATAACAGATGTGTGAAGTAATGTGATGTACATCCTATCCATGCACATGAAGATGTTCCCATACAGAGCTGGATTCTTTTCAGCAGGGTATATAAAGAATGTTATATCTGTAATATTTTGTAATCTCTATTACTTTATGGTGTAAACCTTTATGTCGTATAAAATGTCCAAAACTGAACTGACAGAAATACAGGACAGTATTTGTGTAACGATCTGTGAAAAACACTAAATTATTGTCTGTCCTCTATACTTCCAGTTTCAGGCTTCCTTACTCCTTGAGAGCCTCAGCTTGTCCTTACTCTCCTTGAACATTACTGACAGCAACGACACAGCACAGGTGGAAACTAATGCACAACTTATCGTCATGGCAGCCAGCAGTGTGCTAGAGGCTTCTGAGAGCTCACACACTCAGGTAAGGCTGCTGTATTAGAAAAGAAAAGCCGGATTTTAGAGTAAACAGGAATGTGAATTCAACACCAACTGAAGGGTTTGTTTTGTGATCTGGCTTTGTCTTCCACAGAACCAAATATCCGATAATGTGATCCATTCGCTTGACAATGTGCAGAGCGCCCTGCTATCCGAAAAACAGCTCGATCGTGAGCCAACCATTCTTGTCACTCCCCAAATTGGACTTTATGTCAACAGGTACAGACAGAAAGCAAAATTTGAAAGATGTCATAAAACTGTAGCTGACTTTAAGCTTACCCATTATTGCAGCAATGAAAGCAACTTTCACACAGTCTGCACATACTGTGATTGATGTGTCAGTCATTTAATATCCTTCTGTGGGCCTTGATGTTGTTTCTCTGAACCAGGCTGGTACTTACTACTTTGAGTTTACCTTAAATTCAACAGGTTTTCTAATCCTCTCTCTATCTGAGAAAGTTAAAAGGCTAATTGCAGCCCTCACTATGGTAAACTTACTTACTCACTATGGCCCTACCTACTCACTTTGCAAACTGTAAATCGGTAAATACTGCACAATTTACCCCCTATACTGCTGCAACACTGTACATACAGTGGGTTTTGCTGCCTCCAACTAGCTCAGCCCTTTTCTTCTAATTTCAGGATGTCAGCAGATAAGATTCAAGGCCATTTTATCGGTGTCCAGAATTCCAGCTCCGCCAGTTTCACATTTCCAGCGGCTTCAATCCTCCCTAAAGGGGATACAGTGGATTTGCGGGTGAGCGACTGGAAAAAAGAACTGTTCTTACTGGAGCGTTTGTTGTGTCTGTGTGTGTCAGCAATGGAAATACCCTGTGCTGATCTAGTTAAGATATAGAATTGTCTTTAACAGTAGAGACAGGTTATCCCGGTAGTTTAAGATGTTAAGATTCCACCTTTAAGCACAGCAGATACAAGAGACTGTCTTCACACTGTCTTGCAGTGATTCTCAAAGCTTGGATGGATAGTGTGATTATAAGTGGAGGTCTCTCGCTCATTGTTTATTGTCTGGTCATCAGATGATGTGCTTGGGTGTTAATCCATACTCGGTGGGTGAAGGGGACCTGATTAGTGGAATGGTTGGAGGCCTCTCCCTCACCAGAAAGAATGGCTCTGCAATCCCTGTTTTTAACCTCACACAGGAAATCGAGGTAAGAGCAGATCTCTGAAGGGCAGGGAGAATTTGTCTACTGAATCCACTACATAGGACAAGGTCTGGAAAAAATCCATTAACTATTCATGGGTGAATTTTCTTCATTCATATGCACAATAAACTAAAAATAAATAACGCAAAAAAGTGAATAAACTTCTGTGGTCTCATGTGACCTGATTGTACCAGTTGCTACTAGGACAGGCTTGCTGTAACCCTCACCTTAGTAAAATACCTTCCTGTTAACGTATGGATATGTTTGTGATTTCAAAGTGCCTGAATAAGATCTAGCTCAGAAGTCGATGCTTTTTTCTCCTGCTGTGGATTGTGTCCAGATCTTTTTGCCAAGACCTGGTGCTGGTGAGGTGAACAGTACGGTTCTGGACCTGGGGAACTCCAGCACAATCATAGTCAACATGACAATGACAAACATCTCCCTGGTGTTGAAGCTGGAGCCTTCTGAAGATATTCCTCTCCAGCTGCTCCTGTATCCGTATCCCAATGACACACATTGCCTAGCAGAAACCTGGCTGCCCCATCCAGGCTCCACGCGAGGTAACGTTCCTCATAGCTCTTGATCTTCCTAACTGTACAGTTTTTTTTCTCTGATCCACTCATGTGCTCTATCGGTCGAAAAGTTTATGGTCTTGGGGGTGTAGAATCAAATGGAATTCCATTCCACGTAAAAATTGCTTTTCTAGCCACATGTTGCTTTTATAGCTAACAGAATCCTTGCTACTTTATCTCCTGTTGACTCCATGGTCAGTCAGTTGGAGTACCTTGTAAATAACAGCTATTATTTTGCTCAGAGGAGAAGTACACCTGGGTGATAAATCCTGATGACACAGTGTTAGAAGAAACAGCATATTCTGTTATGGTGAAGCAGGTGCCTCAAGTGGGAGCAAGCATCACAAACGCCACAAACGTAACAGTGTCTGTCACTTCCATCGCTGCCCAGTGTGTATACTGGGATGAGGAGAAAAGAAACTGGAGCACTCATGGATGTCGGGTAAGTACAACCCCACATTCACTGCCTTTTGTGCTTTAAACTGGTTTTGGTGTGGTTAGGAACATTTTGTAAACTAAGCACATACAGTATTCTTCCAAATATACAAGAATGGTGTAATGTAGTAAAATAATCTGTAATGCCATATTTCAAACTGAATAGAACAGTAGTAATAAATCTGAGGCAATTTTCAGTGTTTTTACACGGCTCTGTACTGTATGTTCCATAATTCCATTGAGAAAGGATCTTGATTGTTCAATTCTGTTTTGCATTGAAGATAGACTTCCAGTATCACCACTGTGCATTTGAAAAGTTATCATCCTTTCTCCTTCCTAGGTGGGGCCTCTCACAACCCCACTGGCAACCCAGTGCCTTTGTACCCATCTCACCTTTTTCGGGAGCTCCTTCTTCGTCATGCCCAACCTTGTTGATGTCTCCCGAACGGCTGAATTGTTTGCCACCTTCTCTGATAACCCTGTGGTGGGCTCCTTTGTGGCAGCCATCTTTGGGTTGTATCTCCTCATCGTTGTGTGGGCACGCAGGAAGGACATACAGGATGCTGTGAAGGTATGAGTGATGGTGGAACAGAAGAAAATGAACACAGCATTGATCATGGTGGTAAACGTGTGTGTAAAAAAATAGCTGTGTGTGAGTGTGACAGGCAAGGTGGCTCATGAGATCTGAGCACTCTAAGACTCAGGATTGGACAGAGTATGGTAAAGAGGGTCTTTTTAACAAAAATCTTCAAAACCCATTAAAAGCCTGTGGTGGCAGATCAGCTGAAGTCTTAGCCTATCTCTGACCTGGCCTGCCACAGTGTCGTTTAGAAGGTTAGATATCTGAATGGGAACAGGTAGAGGAACTGCAAAGGGGATAGTTTAGTAACACCTGCCCATGTTTTGAGGGAGCAAACCTTTCGCTGAGGTTCATCAGTATTTAAAATAATCCTAAATGTAAATTATTATGAAAAACGTTGACCCCTTGTACTGAACCACCGGGAAGAGGAATGGTGTTAAATAAGTGCTCTCTCACTGATAAACTATACAATGCAGTTCTGAACCCGACTCACTCAATAATTCACTGTTTGTTTGCAGGTCAAAGTCACAGTTCTAGAGGACAATGATCCACTGGCTCAGTACCGGTATATGCTGACTGTCTGTACTGGCCACCGACGTGCAGCATCCCCCTCTGCACAGGTCAGCAAAGGCCAGCAGCTGACTGGGGATGTCTCCCAGCTCAAGATCGTCAGACAGAGTGTGCACGTAGCGGTACTCCTTGCAGAAACCTGCAATGTGAATTTCAATTTACTTATCTAAAAGATAGGTTTGATCTTGAAAGAAGAAACAGGTGGTTTGTTCAGACTCAAAATGCTGTTTCAGAATTCTGATAAGAGAGTTTTGTGGTTTTCATCTATTGTTTTGAAGATATACAGTACTAGTTTCTTAACCGGCCATGTGAAAAGATGTGTTCAGTTTCCATGATGTTTTTAACATTAAAACATTCCTCTTCTGCCTGTGCTGTCCTGCAGGTGACAGTGACTATACTGGGCTCCGAGGGTGACAGTGAGCCCCATCACCTAAGTGACCCTGACAAGCCGGTGTTTGAGAGAGGCAGTGTGGACACTTTCCTGCTCACCACCCCCTTCTCCCTGGGGGAGCTGCAGGGCATCCGGCTCTGGCATGACAACTCTGGGGGGCACCCTGCCTGGTAATGAGAGGGTGGCTGAAATTCCATAATAATGCAGATCATTTGTAATGTGCTGTCACTAGGACTTGCACTAGATAGTCATGCAAGGAAGATGAATAGGTTTCAGAAATACGTAGGGTATTAAATGATGCACTGGGCAAGACACACATAAACTTGGTTAAAAGGCACCACTTTCCAGATGTTCCGTGGTCTTGTTTCATAAATTTGCGATACCTTGCTCTTGTACCACAGAAAAATTCTGCGTAGGTTTATAAGGGTCCGTGCTCCCCGGGAAGCAGATGAAAAACACTTTGTGCGGATGCTTCTTCGTGTGCTCCAGCATACTCATAATACTGCTCTCAGTCTTCTTTTGTAGTCAAACCATGAATGCCAGTCTGAGTTTCCAATCACTAGGTATGTAAACAAGGTGGTGGTGCATGACCTGGAAACAGATCGGAAATGGCACTTCCTGTGTAACTCCTGGCTAGCAATTGATGTTGGCGAATGCGTGCTGGATAAAGTCTTCCCTGTGGCCACAGAGGCAGACCTAAAAAGGTTCAGGTAAGGCCCTGAAATAAGTGAAGGAACTCTATTGGTCAAATATGACTGTGGGCCTTTGGATTTTCAGCTTTTAATCGTTTTTTTCCAGTAATTTGTTCTTCATGAAGACTGCAAAGGACTTCCGCGATGGGCACATCTGGTATTCAGTGATCAGCAGACCCCCGCACAGTAACTTCACTCGGGTGCAGCGTGTGTCCTGCTGCTTCTCCCTGCTGCTCTGCACCATGCTGACAAGCCTCATGTTCTGGGGTGTCCCAAAGGATCCCAGTGAGCAGAAGATGGACCTGGGTATGACCTCAGTCTTATTGTGCTGATAAACACTGCTTGATTCTAAGGATCTGTAAGCCTCCAGGGTTTGGTACTTTCCCTTGGATATTTTCAGAATCAGGAAGACACAGGTTCTCCCTTGCAGTAAAATATGCATGGTTTTTGTATATTCCCTCTATATAAACTCCATAAACCCCATGTGAGTGCCCTATCAAAACATTGTGCATGTCCACGCCAGACCTTTTTGGTCATGTTTTATTTGAATGATGCTGCATAATGGCTTCATTATCCCTCCATAATTGCAACACAAGACGTTATAATCACATACCTGATGCTTTGTTACTGAATTGTCTCCTTCTGTCCTCAGGCCACATTGAGTTCACCTGGCAACAGGTGATGATTGGGGTCCAGAGCTCCATCATCATGTTCCCGATCAACTTGTTCATTGTAAGCATCTTCAGGAACACCCGCCCACGGGAGAAACAGCCAGAGCGGCCTGGGAAAAAGACCAAAGCAGATCCAGCCAAGCAGGGCAAGACGGGGCGGGTATCCCCATCTCAGCCCCCCTCGCCGCGGAGGGTTTGCCAAGACATCACCCCTGACTCGGTCATCAAGGTACAGCAAGTGCAATTATTTGCACCTCTGATTTGCAAGCGATCATTAAAATGATATCAAAAATGTTTCGGGCAATGCTTACGTCAGAAAAATAATGGCAAATTGTAAGATAAACAATTTCAGTTGTTTTGATTCGTTTCTAATCATTCTGAGAAATTCCGCATTTTCTGAGAGTTCCCCTTGAAGCAGGCATGTTCAAAAATGAAGGTCCAATCCAGGCTCTATTTATGGCATGTACTGTAATCCCCTTTTCAGAAAAAAACTGTACTGTCACATGACATTTTAAAACAGAAGCTTGGCTAGGTATTTTTTGAATGTTTATATAGCATATAAAATATGTTATGCTTTCAAGAAACATGATTATTAGACTAAGGAAAAAAAACAGATTCAATGAAGCTATAATTTCAGTAACATTTTATGCAACACGGGTGCCACCTGTTGATCTTTTTTTTTTGCTGTGAAGGGCTGAAAGCAGTATGCTGCTCAGGACTGTGGAGTTGTGTGAGTTTTGACAAGCATTCTGAATGGCTCTATCTGTAGCTAGTTCATAACTACTTCCTATTATCAACATTTATATTATTACTGGAACACAAAAACACATACAGTACTTAAATGTAAGCAATCTGTTTTTGGATCACTCAGAGTCAATCTGTGAATTAATAACATTTTCAACAATTTCTTCCCTAAATAAATAGTTTTAAGGACTTTGTTAGTTTGAAAGGCTTTGAGAAGGCTGCCCTTAGCAATCTGACATATTTTCAGGACATTAAGAGGATTGCACAGTCCCTGTCGAAGGTCATGAAGAGCCCTGTCCCCCAGCTGGACAGAGATTTTGGGAGGACAAATGACATAAACAAGTTGCTGTCACTGGTGGAGGAGATCATCCGTCTACACAACACGACAGGGGGAGAGTTTTACACAGAGAACCGCAAAAAAGAGGGCTCTCTTGTCCTCACACTGGGCGCCGTCAATCTGCAAGGTATCTTTTCTTACTCTGAGGGTCACGATGTAAAATCTTCTTTTCAACAACTTAAAGCTTGATTTATAAAAACGTATTGAGCAAGCGAGAATTCTGTATATAGTTGAAATAAGTAGCACTGGAACTGAAATTAAGCTGGGAGATAGGGTGGATGACATCATACACTCCCAAGTGTGGGAATGAGATTTCAACAGACAAATTTATGACGGGTTAGAGATTCCAAAAATTGATGGTACTAAACATATTTGACATTATTTGAGTAGTCCTGTAATATTATGAATTCCTGGTAAGGGGATCTGGAATTTAATCCAGCAGCATAGGGTTCACTTCGGGCAGGATGCCAGTTCATCGCAGGATACTATATGTGCATACAAAGACACAGGAAGGATTTGAAAAACAGGGGTGCACCCATTGCTTGGTGGAATAGTCTCTGGTGCCCTTGTGACTCTCTACTGGACAAAGCAGTTAGAAAATGGATCCCATTATCACATAATTCATACTGTTTTCACAGTAAAGAAGGTTTCTTTCTCACTTTTAATATATCAGTGAAAGATACCAAGGAGGCATAGAGGCACAGTGATCAGCATTGCTGCCTCTCAGGAGCCCTGAGTTCAGTTCCTGAGGTGCTGTCTGCATGGAGCTCGTATGTTCTTCATGTGCTAATGTGGTTTTGTATAATGTATAATGTTCCTTTATTAGCCCTATACAATTTCTTGCATTAGGAATTCGTCTTTTCGCATACCCCAGCTTTTCTCCAAGGGGGCACAGACAGGGAGAAGCTGGGGGTCAGAGCACAGGGTCTGCCATTGTACGGCGCCCGTGCAGCAGTTGGGGTTAAGGGCTTTGTTCAAGGGCCCAACGGAGTAGGATTCCTCTGCCGGCCGCAGGATTTGAACCGGCAACCTTCCAGTCACAGGTGCAGATCCTTAGCCACAGAGCCACCGCTCCTTTCCTCTGGGTGCTCCAGTTTCCTCCCACAGTTCTCAGATTTACTGATAGGTTAAGCGGCTTCGGGGAAAATTGTCCCTAGCGCGAGAGTGTGCGTGACTGTGTGTGCCCTTTGATGGGCTGGCGTCCCGTTCAGGGTGTTTCCTGCATTGTGCCCATTGCTTGCCAGGATAGGCTCCAGCTCCCCCCAAACCCTGTATAGGACAGACCAAAATAGCTGGATGGAGAGATAATGGAGAGACAATGAAGCCCTCAGTGACGAAGGCCCTGCTGCCGACGCGCTGTGAGTAACGCAGGATGTGTCCCACTGTGCCAGAGAACAGCCCCACGGGGAGCCCTGAGCGGACCGTGAGCAGCGGCCAGAAGCCCAGTGACTACAGCCACTATCTGTACAGGCAGCTGCAGCACGTGGAGAAGGAGCTGGAGCTGCTGGGATCTGCGCGCTTCACCCCACCACAGAGCTACGACCAGGCCGTGGGGCAGGTGCAAGGCATGAAGGAGCTTTTGGAGAGACACTTCTCTGCCAGCGCCAAAAGCAGCAGGCAGGATCTGTATTTTTCACCACTTGACTTAACTCAGTAATAACTAATAGGCTGTGCATTACTCAGTTTCTTATTATCTGGGAGTTCTGCATAAAGAGCTTGGAAGCATATGTTTTGTCTAAACCGTATTTGTTATTTTCATGCTTCAAGACAATAGTCTTGACCTGTAGGTGGATTTGAATTTGAATTTGACTGTTCTTGACTTCTCTCCAGCTTGTGTCTTACTGTATCTGAGCACTGTCTCATTAATGATAAGGGAACTGCTGAGGCTCCACTGATTGGGACACGGGGTGTTGTTGAGGACGAAGGTGTGAACTGATGTCTGTGTTCTGTCATTCCTGCAGGCTGTCGCCCAGCCCTGTTCCCACAGATGGCAGCACCAGGAAGAAGTGCTGTCCGAACACGCTGCCCTGGTGGTTCGTGTTTGTTGGCTGGCTGCTGGTGGTGGCAACAAGCGGCATCTCAGCTTATTTCACCATCATGTACGGGCTGACGTATGGAAAAGGCCGCTCCATCAACTGGCTGATCTCCATGACTGTTTCTTTCTTTGAAAGCCTCTTCATCACCCAGCCCCTAAAGGTGATTCGTTAAAGGGGTGAAAAGTCACTTTTCATTACAATACAGTACTCTAAAACATTGGTCAGTCCATGTAAGATTTTAAGAACTATTTTAAAGGAGGAAAAAAAAACAATGTATATTTAATGAATGTAATTATGATAATTCCTTGCATTTATATAGCTCATTTAATCTACCCTGGCCTAAAATGCAAGCTCATTAAAATACCATTTTAACATGTTTTTCATCTCATTGAAAACTTTCCTAAAGAACATAGATTATTGAAGAAGATAAGTTTCCAAGAACTTTTATCAATGCTTCTGTTTGTTTTAAACTCATTTTTTGGTAAAAGGGTTATTTCAAATCTGAGGACTGGAGGGGTTCAGAGACAGATTGCAGAACTCCTTATAAATAATATATGGAATTTCCAGTTATTGGTTTGTATTATTCACTTGTATCATATATAATTTTGGTGGACTTGGGATTTGAAAATGCAGTGATATTTGTACCTGTAAAATTCAGTACCTGCTAGGCCACCGTCAAACAGAAACAGCCCATGTAAATTTTTAACAGATTTTGTTTTGGGTGATTGGTTCACCCAGGTCCTTGGATTTGCTGCCTTCTTTGCTCTGGTACTGAAGAAAGTTGACCACGAAGAGGAAAGTGAAGTGGCCATCGAGGGAGACCTTACAAGCTCAGGTAACTGACTCTTGCAGTTTTGGATGAATCAGTCAGGTAACCTGCAGATGTTCTTGTAGGAGCTCTCTGTTACCAAAGGAGCAGTATTTTGAAGGCCCAATCTGTAGTAAAACACGTGATATCTTGAAGTGATTATGAATTGCTTTTTCCATCCCTTCATTTTCTAACTGCTTCATCTAATTCTGAGTGGGGGGGGGGAGTTGGAGCCTATCGCAGCAATCACTGGGCTCAAGGCAGGGTACACTCTGGATCGGATGCCAGTCCATCGCAGGGCAGACACAGACAGAGACACGCACAAACTCACACCAGGACCAATTTGTCCAGAATCCAATGATCCTACCAGTATGTCTTTGGACTATGGGAGAAAATCAGTGCACCCAGAGGACACCAATGTGAACACTGGGAGAACGTACAAACTCCACCTGGATAGCACCCCAAGTCCAGAATTGAACCCAAAGCCTTAACACTCTGAGGCAGCAATCCTAAAAACTGTGCCACTGTGCCTCTCTAACCAGTATTTAGTAAGTTAAATTCTTTTTTTCTGAAATATTTAGCAAGCAAAATAAAATAGTTTTTACAGACACACTGGGAAATGCTTGTACAGAGAACTGAGGGATGTATAAGCAAAAAGGCTAATTTAACCCCATCGTTCTGATACAATTAGGGGAGCCTGGTGCTGTGTTGAGCTCACGAAGAGACAGCAGCTGCAGTTTCTACCAGCCCCCTCCTCGCACTGACATTGAGAAGATGAGAAACAACATCTTAAAGGAGCAGAAGGTCTTCATCCTTATCAGAGAGATTGTGGGTAAGAGCTTCTGTGCTTCAGATTAGAAAGATTAAGAAAAGGCTACATAAATAATATCATGCCTTCAAGAGTTTTTCAAAATAAGTCATAAACTGTTTAAAGCCCTTTGTATATAGAATCGCTTATTTTAACGCTGAAATGATAAATACTGAAAAAAACATAGCTATCCTGTTTTGTTTTTACTGAAACCTTCTAACCTCAAAGCTGTTGATTGTAACAATTTGTGTTTTCAGTTTAATTTAAGGACTCTCCAATAGTAATAATTTGGACATGTATTGCTTGTTATTTGCAGCCTATGTGGGATTCTTGTGGGTGTTGCTCTTAGTGGCCTATGGTCAACGAGACCCAAATGCATATTTATTAACACAACACATTGAGGAGAGCTTCACTAATGGGATGTCAAACACCATGGCCCACAAAGATGTGTTCACTTGGATCAACACCACTGTTCTCAGCAACCTCTTTGGCAAGTTCCCAGGTACAGACATCTCCCTCTACTGACGTTGTTGCTCTGCTGTATGTGAGGTATTATTTTATTATTTCTATCGTTTTTTATTTGCTAAAAAGAAAGCCATTTCAGTAGAGTTCTGTCAAATAGAAACCTTTCTGTCATTTTATTTATTTTTCACTTGTAATTTCATGCAAGTCTCCTTACTTTCATCCAGGAAAAATTGTAACCGAATTGATAGTTAATGTTGAATATAAATTGAAGTATTGTGTACCACCTTTTCTCTCTACTGGGGCAGGAATAAATGCCTAGATGAGTGATAACTTATTCAGCTTCCAGTTAGATCAAGGGATATGGGCAAGTTTCGTTCATGTGCTTCTGAGGTCTCAATCTGCTGTTGTAGGATTCATCACAGATGGAAATTCCAAGCTTGTTGGCAATGCCCGGGTTCGACAGGTGCGAGTCCGGAGAGACTCATGCACGATCTCTCAGTCCGTGCGTAACTCCATTCCCGACTGCCATTCCCCCTACTCCTGGGAACTGGAGGACATGGCTTCATATGGACCAGGCTGGAACATGTCTGTGCAAACCAGTGCCTCGCAGGTCCCTCACGCGTGGCAGTATCAGAGCCAGGGCAGCCTGAGGGCACACCCTGTCTGGGGCAGCATGGCTCTGTACAGGGGAGGTGGGTATGTGGCAGAACTGGGCCCAGACCTTCAGAATGCAACCAGGTGAGGATGCAAAACAACAAAGGGAAGGAGGCCATTAGGCCCTTCCAGATCATATGGATTCTAGTACGTAAGAAGATAGAGCAGGTCTGCAAATGAGAGGGGAGTGACATACAGTATCAGGGCTTTGTTGGGCAAAGGTAATGGCTTTACTGATTTTCATACCACAGATTATTGCTAAAAATCCTTTTTACACAGAAAGTACTCCAATTTAAAATGCTAATCACACAATAAATGCTTAAAACTTTGCTAAACACTGAAGGTGAATGTTTGGTGGGATGCAATGGGAAACTAATGGGAGGAGCTACATCGGCCAGGGGGCTTTGATGAGCCTGAACAAATGGTCCTGGCTGTACAGTAAGCATACGTCTCATTGCCTGGGACGTCACACGCAGTTATTCATGTTGCCTTTAGCACAACTAGTTGTGAGATGCACATCTATAGTCTGCATTGAGTTTGCTCGAGGTGTATTGGAGTCACTAAAATAATTCAGGTGGGTAGCTGCGTCAGCATGCGTAGGCTGGAAAGGAACAAGTAATAGGTTTATTCCATGCTGAAAAAAAGAAGAAAGAGAACACAACATTTCGGCCGTGGAGCCTTCTTCAGGTGTGAGAGAGACAAAATAATGGTCATTAAAAAGATCACTGAGATGAATCAACTCTAAAAGAAGCAGTCCCAAGCAAGGTATTGCTGTGTTCATGCACTTACAGTTCCTAGCAGTTGTCACAGATGTAACCTGACTGTTTGGAGTTTCCAGCATAGCTGCGATTAATAGGCTTAGAGTCCCACAAGATCCAAGTTACCTGCTTATAAGCTTTTCTAATTATTTCGACTTCCATATTTAAACTATGCTGGGTATCCTCTTGATTACATCTTCAGGCTCTTCAATCGTTTAACTCTGGCTTCATTCTCTTGTTTTAAATGTTTGTTATTGTTATATAAATGTGGTTAAAAATTGGTCCTTCCAGAATGATCCCCAGGAACTCCAGGATGTAACTCTTGGGGAACATGATGTTCTATATTTCTATATGTAAAACAAATCCTAAAATATGACCTAAGAAATTATTCAGAAATCCACCTTTTATTCACGCAGTGTTCTTCAGTACCTGTTTGACAACACCTGGCTGGATGTGTACACACGGGCCGTGTTTGTAGAGTTTACGGTGTACAATGCCAATGTCAACCTTTTCTGCATTGTTACTCTGATTCTGGAGACCACTGCTGTTGGTAAGTGTGTGGTTCTGTTTTGCTGCATCCTTAGTAACCCTTAACGCACACTGTACTTTTCACCCTTTTGCTTTAGATATAAGTATCCCATATATCTCCCTCCCCATTGAACATCTTAAACTATGTATGAAAACGGCTGGAAAAACTACACAACAGTTCCTACTCTGTTTGTAAATCCCACTGGGTTCAGCACCAGTGCTACACTCCTTGTTGCCACCTTTCCCCACCCGCAGGAGCTTTCCAGCACCGCACGGAGCTGAAGAACGTTCGTCTGTATCAGTCCACCGGAGGCCTGCATGTCTTCGTCATGGCTTCGGAGGTCATCTACTTTCTCTTCATTCTCCACTATATGTTTATCCAGGTAAGGGGTTCAGAGCTCTTCTTATAATATATCCCTTTCTTGGGTTACCCCATGTCAACATAAATCCCCCATTAAAAGTGAAAGATCTTGGTTAAAGGGAAGAATAGAGAAAAAAGAATTGCAATTGAACCTTAGGATCTTGAAGAGCTTTAATGAAAGCCCTCTATTGGAATGCATGCACAAAAGCTCTATGTGCTGACAAGGAGGTTACCGATTTTGTTTCAGAAGAGAAGTTGCTCTTAATGGTTTCTGGGAAAATACCATTCAGGCTAGTGACAAAATAGGTGTGGCGAGAAAATGATTGGGTTTTTCCATTTTAAAATGTAATTTGGGGATTTAAAATGGAACAAATTGTGTACTGGAGCACAATACCTCGAAAGTGGTCCCTAGAATTCCAGCCTTCTTGTTCCTGCAGGGCAAGCGCATGAAGGAGCAGAAATGGGCCTACTTCCAGAGCAAGTGGAACCTGCTGGAGCTGGCCATCATCCTCCTGAGCTGGAGCGCCCTGTCCGTGTTCATCAAGAGGACCCTGCTGGGTAACCGGGACATGCAGTACTACCAGGACCACCGGGATGAGTGAGCAGGCCGCCTAGCCACACCTGAAGCACATTAGCAAGTTGCATCCAAGTGTTTAAAACTATCTCAGTTAATATCCACGTACATACGTGCATAACATTTATAGAACAGAGATATTTAAGACCCGTAACCACAGGTTTGTTTACTGGTAAAATCATTAGACTTAATTACTTAATTTCTTATTACAATAATTCTATCAGTTTTGAAAAGACGGGATAGGAAAGGAATTAGACAATAATCTCCAAACGATTTCATCATCCTGAAATGAGATGCAATACTGCACACTTTAATGCTGATATGGACTGAGGTATGAGGTTAGCGGAGTGGAAGATTGCCTAATGAAATGGTAAACAGCAAAAGTGATTAAAGGCAGCCCTGACACACTCCTGAAATTAGAGAGATTAGAGTGGAGAGCTCATGGTGCCTGAAAGCTTCACTGCATAGGAACATTATCATTACAGTGTCCCACTTTCTACATAAGAAGGAAGCTCTTCAGCACATAATGTAAAGCCTGTCCATTAGGTAAAAGTGCATTTTCTGTGCTTTGATTTGAATGGGAGCTTTTGTCCCCACACCACTAGCTGGGTAGGTTTCAGAAGACATCCAATGGTTCTTTTCAAAATGTCTTTCTAGGTTTCTTATTGGTAGATTCTTGTTGCAAAAGACTCACAACAGGAGTCTAACTAATCTGGCTAAAAGCATAAGACATAAAAGCGTTAGGTGATTTGTCTATTTATTAAAGGCATTTATTTTGTCCTCTTTTATTTCTGACTTCAAATATTTTCAAACTGCTGGAACATGTGTTTCAATGCAGCGCACATCCATTTCCTTTTCACAAGAATTTTGAAGTATTTTAATTGGCAGACAACATTTCTTGGTAAACTAGTGTAAATCAGAAGTGAGCCTGCAACTGTGCATAAACAGACACTCTTCTGTTAGTTGGGATTTCCTAGTTTGTCTGTTCATCTGATTAATAAGAGATTATGAAGATCAGCATATGGGGTTAGCAGAGACCTGTAGGAGAACCACCATCAGTGTGGCGAGATCCACCAACCCCAATCCTAGCAGATGAGGATGATGACAAACTGGAAATCCAGTGAGGTAGCACCCTCTGGCAGGGAAAGATTAGCAACTTCCAAGCCTACTTATCTGGTGGATGTCACATTGTAACTTCATCTATTGTATCCTGAAGACCTTTTAGCTTCTCCTGACGTTTGCTGTCCATCGGGAGACAGTGGCTAACGTTTTTTTTAGCCTGTCACTCCTTTCGTGAATCGTCATAGTAAACATGCTGTATATCTTGCTCTGAGATCTCACTTGATCACCAGTGTCATATCCTTCTGAACTGAAGCTTTGTTTAAATGCTTCCCATCAGATGTAGCATGAGGGGAAGATGTCTCTTTCTTTGGGGATGCCAGATTGATTTGATGGTTAACAAAGAATAGCAAAACACAGGTGATACACAGTAGATTTAAATAAGGTAGAGGTGCAGAAAAGGCACCTAGTGAGAGAACCACCTCACAGTATTCACATGATCTCCAACTTAGTGTTATTCATCCCACTATTTTTATAAGTATGAGAGTATAGTTTTTTTTCACATGGTAAATAGCTGGGATCACTGCGACTACCTAGGTAATACCAAGACTTCAATAAGGTAATCCAATTCAATAACGTCATTATATACAAGTTATATTTCCAAATCATAACTCCTCTATCCTTCCAGTTCTCTAACCAGTTTGTCTAATACAGGGTGGAGCCTGCCTGGCATGGCAAGGAACACCCTGGATGGGACCCCAGTCCACTGTAGGGTGCATAACCCCTCCTCAATCCATTTCAACTCTTTTCCTGCAAAAGAAATCTTAGTGAAGAAATTTCAGCAGTAAACAATTTCTCAGGAGTAAATATCTCAGAATTCAATATAAACCGTGTGAAATTGTATAAGAATCTTTGGATGATTTTGGAGTGGTGCTCCGAGCCCTTGTGGCCAATGACATGCATGTGGTTTTGGCAGGTTTGCCAGTTTCTATGAGACAGCTGCTGCGGATGCTGTTCTAGGATACCTGATTGCGTTCCTGGTGCTGTTGGCCACAGTCAAACTGTGGCACCTCCTGAGACTGAACCCAAAGCTACACATGATCACCTCCACCCTGCAGAGAGCCTGGACTGACATCTCTGGGTTCATCATCGTCATTGTCATCATGCTGTTGTCCTACACCATTGCTGTGAGCCTTAACTGTCCCGCTGTCGTTATTGTAGACAATGTCTGCCTTTTTTAGATAATTAAACAGTAACAACTCTGTGACATAACATCATAGACTATATAAAACAAATTACTACACTGGATGAAAGTTTTGTCCCAAGAATTGTGGAAATAAAAAAAAAATCATGACTCGAGTACTGCCATTTGTTGAATGGAGATCTGCTCCACATACTGTACAATAAAATGAACCAGTATGTTTTCTTAAAAATGATGAGACTTCAGACATTCATCACGCAACACAATTGCATCCTATTAGGTTTTATGCAGTTGTTTGCTCAGAACGTTCTTGGGCTGTTCATGGTTAATCAATTTCCCTACGGGATTAATAAAGTATTATCTATCTATGGTTTTCCTTTTGGGTCCTAGACAAACCTGATGTTTGGATGGAAGCTTTACTCTTACAGAACACTGCTGGAAGCAGCCCAGACAATGGTCAGCCTGCAGCTGGGAATTTTTAACTATGAGGAGGTCAGTCTGCTTCTGCCGGGCTTAAACAACAGGGTTTATATATGCCATTCTTAGCAGATTGTGAGAATATGGAAAAATGCATCTTCATAATCTGTCTCTAAAGTCCTTACTTGTTTATAACTGAATAGGTTTAAAACATGTGAAGGGATTAGTCATATGTTTATTGTGTATTAATGGAAGTTTAATCCACACAGTCATTATCTATTGCTTTATTCAATGCATGATTGCAGGGGAAGCAGGAGCATACTCTACTGCTGCAAGGCAGGATACACCCAATCCATTGCAGGGCACACACAGACACAAACACACACTCACACCAAGGCCAGTTCCCCAAGGAGCAAATTAAGCTCCCATAATATTTATTAAAACTTTACTCTGAGCAGCAACTTTGTAGGGAGGGAAATACCTTTAAATGATATATATATATATCTTATCTATATCCAATTTCATCTTTTGCAGGTTCTCGATTATAACCCTGTGCTTGCCGCATTCCTCATTGGGTCCTGTATTGTCTTCATGACCTTTGTGGTTCTCAATCTTTTTATCTCTGTTATTCTGGTGGCATTCAGTGAGGAACAGAAAAACCACAAGGTATGACCACCACCACCACTCCATTTTTACATACCTTTCTTGGATCTCTCGTTACAATAGTTCCCTTCCGAGCTTATGGGTCTACAACAGTGGTCCCGGACAGCCGGCGTCCTGCAGCTTAAATAAATGACTGTGAAACAGTGAGAGACAGCTTCCAGAGGCTTTCCATCAAGGACATAAGCTAGTGTCAAACGAAGCACACCTGAGCTAAATGAATAATTGGCATCCAGAGGCGAAGAGATTCGATATGAGGGAGAGGAGCAGGTAGGATAGGCTCTGAGTGGAACTGACCACTCCCCTGGACGAATGGAAGGTGTATAAGAACCACCAGGAGGATAAAGGTCCAGCATGGCAGGGTAGTTTCTGTATCAAAGGGTTGGGCTGGCTTATAGGCTTATATGACTCAGTGAACAAGGGACACTGGAGAAAATATACAGTGGTTTAAGCTATACTGAAGGGCATTATGAGTGCTGGCCAGACAGGCAGTTCTGGATGTTCTCAATGGGATAGAAGTATACTACCATGGGACAGGGTTGGCCAGCTGAAGCAGGCCTGACTGGGGAATATAAGGATGTGGAGAAGTATGGTATTGCCTGGAAAGGTAGTAGCATACCTTCTCCCTGCAGTTGAAAGAAAAAGGAGCTCAGATAGGCCAGTTGTACTTATGACACCAGCTAGGCTATAACAGAAACAGGCAGAAGTGTGAGGTCGCAGAGGGAGTGTGAGAAATCATCAAACTGGCTGCTGATATGTCAGGGGCAAATGGGATCAGCTGGTACATCTTGGGGAAATGAATAGTGATTTGTAGCTTGCACAAGTCTTCTTAAAGTCAGGATGACCCTGGAACTGCAAATTCAATAAAGAATTAAATGTATGCTGAACTCTTACACACATCTATAGACATGCATGGTGTCAGAAACAAAAATAATGCTAGTGAACTGTGCTCTGATTTTTTTGCAGCCTTCAGAGGAGGAAGAGATTGTGGACCTCATGTTGACAAAGATCTGCAGTTTTTTCGGGATCAAGTGCAAGATAGAGAAGGAAGAAAACTGCCCAAAAAAACTAGCTTGAACTGTAACAGGCAGCACAGATCCACTCATCCTCTCACTTACTGCAACATGAATTTGTAGTGCACCTCTTTCCTATACTGTTACTTGTTTTAACTGTTCTAGTATAAAGCAACAGATTCTGTATTCACTCTTGAGAATTTTAAACTACTGTTTTTCACCAAGACTTACAACCAATTGTCACATCAGTATGCCTCTGGCAGTGTTGCAAGAATTCCAACATAAGAAATTCAATGCAGCCTATTTCTAGCAATCTAAAGAAGAATCTAAATTCTCGTTTCCAGAATTACTAATGGCACAGGCTACAAAATTCTAATTTTCAAGCTATTAAAGGGGGCTGAAGAACCTGCCTGTTTTTATGTTATTTTAAATAACCCAAACATTCTAATGCCTATACATGCAATAGAAATCAATGCATAAAAATGTAATTGTTACAAAAACACTACTCTAAAATTCTTGAATTAATAGCCTAAGAAGATACAGCATTTTAGCATGCAATGTTAAGTTTACAATCCTCTAACTGTATATAGTTTAGTATTTACATGTGTACTTTCAACTATTTTTTGTGGTGCAACACAGTGCTATGCTATAGAAAGGACTGTCTCGAAGCATGCACTACTGTGATCTAGCCATTTCCCAGCTGTTCTTATACTGTCCTATGACAGTACAACTATAGCATATTAAAGTAGTGAGAGCTGATATAAGAAACAAAGGTGATGCTTAGTATTCACTTTAGATTGCATGAAAAGGTATCAACCCTAACAAAACTGTACGTCGTTAATCTTCTCTTACTGTAAAAATACAATTAAAGAGCATATACCACAAAAAGCTTTATTCCCTTCCCCCTTTTTTGAACAAATACAAAGGGAACCTTTTATCAGAAAAAAAGATAAATACAGTGACCTGACAACAATTTGTCATAGGAGTTAGGTGGAAGATTTTTATACTCTCCTAGAATAAAAACACTTCTGCAAAAGTTCTCTTAGTCCTCGGCAGTTTTACTAGTTCATTTCTTCTCCTTCTTGTCTTCTTTCTTGGTGGAAGCATCACTCTTCTCTTTTTCTTTGTCCTTGTCTTTCTCCTCCTTCTTGTCTTTCTTACTCTCATCCTTCTCCTGTCCCTCCTTCTTCTCTGCATCTCGGTTGGCTATCTTGTTGTTGATGAGGTTATGCAGCGCCACTACAGAGCGAATGAGTGAAGCCAAGTAGACCACCAGCATCTGGTCATTGGTCTTGAGGTAGAAGGCCTTAATGAACTCCTGCAAGTTGACATCGGGCAGCAGATTGAAGACGTCCTGAAGCTGGTAGATGATCTGGTGGTTGATGGGCAGCTTACCTGTTGCAACTTTCTCCAGGTAGCCCTTGATATCCAAGAGCTTGGAGTTCAGCCCTTTCAGGCCATGCACCTGATTGGTGATACGCTGTGACAGGGTGCCCACAGTTGTGTCTTTAATGTCTCTGCCAATAGAACCAATTAAAAAAAAGTTATACAGAGGTGTTGTGGAAGTTGAGATCAATATTTAGGTCAGAAATGGGCACCTTTAGGATCTGTCCTCCTCCCAAACAGATTTAAATCCTTGTTTATAGCATAGTGGGCATTCCTGAAGACATCCATTCCTTTAAACTAGGGGTGCAAAGCTCTGACATTTCAGGGGTTCATGCCTCTTTCGTTCTTAAGCAGTTAACGCTACCACATTTTTTATTTGACCTTTGTATTATAACTCCAGATCTCACTTATTAGACAGCATAAGAGCTCTCTGAAACAGTTACATGATTTAAAGTTACAAATCCCACTGCAAATTGTAAACAGGCTATATCACATAACAACTGCTCTTAAATACCCCACAGCCCCAAATACACACATACGTGAATATATTACCCGATGCTAAACCAGCACTATGACCTTTCCATGCACCTGGGTAATGTATTGGTTATTTTCAAGGCAAAAAAACTGTAGAACTTCCTTTACCTTAGTAAATGCTCTACACCAACCTCTTCTGCTTCCTCAGCCCCTATCTCACTGGTAACATGTTCGAATGTCTTGGATGTGGGAGTCCCATCCTAAAAGAAGGACATATCATTTAGAAATACAAACAGTATCTGACCTCTTAGTTTATAATAAATAGCTCGCAGTACAGTAAGTGCATACTAATGGATGAAAGGCTTTAGGCACTAAAATGTATGATCTACAATCCAAACTACATCTCATATTCATTCTACCATTGCTGGTGGAGAGCATGTCAGATCATGTATCATACCTTTAAACAATTTTTAAAGTTGGGATTGCTGGTATAATAACTTCATTCCACCTTTCTTAAATACACAATGTATATCCTTTTCTGTACTTTAATGGGCCCCAAAACTACTCACATCATGCACTTCCTCTACAGAGATGTAGGCTTCTGTGGGGAGACCTAGATCCTTCGGCTTTACATCAATGATAACTAAAACCTGCAAAAGACAGCATTTTATTACAATCCATGAAAGAGTATAAATATTCCCAACTTTCAAGAATATTTATACTCTTTATATTTCCCATTTTTCAAGAATCTGATATATTACAAATTTAAAAAATACTAGATTTTCCAGAATATTTACAAAATGTGTTAAAGACAGTTCTCTCATTCTAGCCTTTGGAAGTCATTTTTTCTATGGACTTCCTAATACAGCTCACAAAAAAAATGAACTGCAATGCAACAAGACTGGAATAAGAGAAAAATATTCTTCTGAATGCATCTCAAAGCCTTAAAATCTAGATTGCTTAAAAAAAGAAAAGAAATGTGATCCTTTAATAATTAATTCATAAAATATGTAAAGTACAATTTATTAATGTTTTGTTCAACACTTACCGAGTTGGAACAGTACCGCTTCATGAGCTCATTGATGGCAATGTCATTCTTGTGGAGTTTTGGTCCTGTGTGATACCAGCCCACTATTCTTTCTCTGGCTAAAGACATTTCAGACACAAAAAAGAATTTCAACACACTATCCAATATTACAGACAATAATGCACTTCCAGTCTTTTGGTTCTTTACCTGTTGAGATAACTCACAAGTTAACATGTGAGCCTTATATAACTTTGAAGAAACTCCAAGACTTCTTAAAAATATACGAGTATTTAACAATTAACCACTTTGATTCAAGTCAGACGTTGTAGTCAAAGCACACTAGAGATCATGTGGGCAATATTTCTGTTTCATATACTGAAGTACAACATTGTAACAACAACGAATTTTAAACTGAACTAAAGTGTGAAGAAATGCTAAGTTACAATGGATATACAGTATACAAAATCAAAGTATTCTATCGACAATGTCCTCTTTTGCAGCACACTGAAAAGGATAAACAAGCTGACACTAGAGTGTGCTCTTACCATTGACTTTTTTGAACATGCCATACATATTCTCAAGGTAGTCATGGTCCAGGAACCACACGGAGTCGTCTTTGTCATCCTCATCGAACGGCACTGTGTGGACAACCAGTTTTTAACTCATTTAAGCAGGCAGCACCTTAGACAACTACCAGGTTCCCACCACATAACAGCGCTGCCCATCTCAGGCTTCAGTGGGACACAGTACAAAGGTAAACTCAAGGACTTCAACCCTGCTTGCAGGTGATTTTCTCTCAGCTGGCCGGGTCACTGGAAGTGAAGTCCGGTCTCAACACTGTCACAACCGACCATCTTGGTCCCCCTTCTTACAAACTCAAGGCTTAGTCTGCTCACCTGCAAAACTGTTGGAAACATCCAGAACCTTCTTGTGCCAGGATCCCAGAAGCACCCCTACCACTCGCTTCTGGTTCCCCACTTTTCCTATTCTGGAAGAAACGTTGAGAATTAACCACAGATGCCAGGAGTAAAAAAAAAAAGTAGGAGCGAATAAATTCCTTCTAACCTTCGCATGTACCCAATGTGAAGCTACACCGCCTGCCCGCACGACCACAAACAAGGGAATTTGTTTCGCAGGACCAGACATTAGTATCCACCGTTTGACCGTTTTAAGTGAGAATAATATCTCACGACAAAAAAAGGCCAGAGTGCTGTCATAAAAACTCGACAGAAATAAATTAACCTCTAACAATAAAAAGAAAAGGCTAAACAATCCTAAAACCGCAGCTGACAAGCCGCCAGCCCTCGGATAGGCAGCAGGAGCGCCGTGAGAAGAGACTGATTGAGACTTTATTTTCTTGAACCTCTGCTGGGTAATAGTTTTGTTTCACGGCAATTCCCCATAGACTGTAAGTGTCATTAATTGTATTAATGGGAATAGTTAATGAACGGAATTTTCTTTCTCCGAGGAAAGTTCTAAAATCCCGGTAAGATGTCCATCATGACATGTACACGCCAAGTACCGTGTGACTCAGCAGGTCAGCACTGTTCCTTGGCGGGGCCCTACTTTTAAAATATTGAAGGAATTCTCGTCTTCAGCTGCAAGATTATTTCTCAATAAGCGTAAATATTAAACTGCCCTCTTAAATTCCCTTGTTAGCTACGCGCAAACAAGTAGACGCGATTTGGCTACAAATGGCACCATTTAAAATTGTAAGATAAAACCTGCACATTCACAGTCATTCAAGAAAAGAGTAATCGGCATCTTGTGTTTCGAATCTGTTAAATGATAACGCACTTGCTATAGTTAACCGAGATTCATTTTCGCTGCCATTCCGGGCCTGTTACAGAAACAATGAGTCCACAAATTCTCCTTAACCATTACAATGGAAAATAAATGTGAAAAATCACCTGTTAAAATGGTCCACAACACTAAGCAACACCAGTGGATGGACTACCACTTTTTCCACAGCAGATTCCGGCATTTTAACGACTCTTATATTAAGATCAGCAAAATGAAACTTGCGAGTAATCTTTACAACCGTATGGCACTCCTCCACAATCCCATAATCCACCGAGACCAGTACAGTAAACGGAAGGAATCCCACAATTCCACGGTGCAGGCGGAAGAAATGACGATGCGGTTTACGGCAGTTGTTATGTTCTTATGACATTGAAAAACTTCCTTGATATAGTTTTTCGCATAAAACAAAAGCACACAATAGAAAATATTTTAATTTGTTTATTGAAATGTTCTTGAAAAAAAGATTGGAGGACGCATTTTCCTTTAGAGCTACTATTTTCTTACCGTGATGATTGTTTAAGGAAGAATATAAATTATACCAGAGCCAAGGACTACAATCTTACCGATAAAACACGTTGCCACTAAATGTGCAGTCATATACATGTCGATATCTAAAGATACATTTAATCTTAAAGTGTTTGTAACAGATCTAGTACTTTTGCTACTGGCTATATATGGTGTATACAAATAATGTACTATATTAAGAATTTTATATTCTGGCTTACGTACTTTTATAAAACAGCATTGTATGGCTTGAAATACTATAGTATTGTTTTCAGAAGGTGTTGATAACTTTTTATAATCCACCTTTTTAAGAACTCCAATATGCAGTGTGTGTATATATATTCACCAATAGGTGGCACTTAAATAACAGAAAGCATTTTGTTGGTAATTTCTTTGGCGACATCCAGTTCAGAGCCATGCCACAGAAATAGCTAAACTTGGCAAGTTTACACAAAGCATGGATTATCCTGTGCACATTATTTATGGTGTACAAAACACAGCCAAACTGTTCATAGACAGTTTTAAAACCCTTATTTTACAGGAACATCACCAGATGTTATAGTTCACAAAATGTGATATTACTTAAATACAAAAACTCTTGATAGTGAATACCGCTCTAGTTCCTTCAGTTAACGTTGGCATCTTGTGTATTTAACTTCTGCTTCTTTCAAAAAGATGTTTCTCAATCTTTAGGTTTAAATGGGATGTTTATATACTATATACTTCTTATGAAGGAGCAGGTAAACTTTCATTCCTTATTGAAAGAAACACTACATGTGGAGCCATCTTCTGGTGTATAAACGACAACACTTCTATTATCACTTTAGTTAATTGCATTAATGAAGTAAAGACTTGGATGTGTGAAAACTTTTTGTTACATAACTCTGATAAAACTGAGGTTATGTTGTTTGGAGGAAACAAAACTGAAACTCTGCCAGCAGCCATATCACCATGCAACTCACAACTGGCAACCCACTGAACCCATTCTACTCTTTCCTTCAGAGTAATCCTGCTACCACATGGAATTCTGGCCCCCACCGAGGAGCTAACTTACCCCTGGCTCACCTCCTAAAGTTTCGGATGAGCACCCTATCCCCAGGAAGCAAAGGCATGTCTACAGCTCTCTGGTCATAACGACGCTTGTCCCTTTCCTGACACCGCTGTACGTGGCCCTGGGCTTTTCGGTATGGCTGCTGCAGAGTTTCGTGATGCGTATGCATCCAACCTTCCAAAGTTTCACCCCTATTCCCTGGGGGCACACCCACCACCATGTCCACTGGCAGGCGTGCGTGTCTCCCAAACATCACAAAGAAGGGGGACAGTCCTGTGCTCTCATGAATAGTGTTATTATATGCATAGATCAATTCTGGAAGCTTTGCAGCCCATTGACCCTGCTGCTCCTCCCTGAGTGACCTTAGCAAAGACAGTACTGTCTGGTTCATTCGCTCTACTGCCCCATTACCCTGGGGATGGTATGGTGTAGTTCTGCTCTTTTGACAATCATACATCCTTCCTAACTGGGCTAGCATGGCAGGGTCAATGGTAGGCCCCTGATTTGAGTGTATCCTCTCAGGACACCCAAATGGCTTGATTACATGCATCCGCTCAAACTCGTGCAGCCCCAGTGGGATGGTGAAGGCAGTCTTTTCCCTGTCACGTTCACTAACCTCCACCTGTCAGTATCTGCTGACCAAGTCCAAAGTAGAGTACCACTCTGCCTGTGACAGAGTTGTCAGTGACTCCTCAATGCGGGGGAGAGGGAAAGCATCTTTATGGGTCACCACATTCAACTTTCTGTAATCCATGGCAAAACCTCCATGACCTATTCTTCTTCTTTACCAAGACGACTGGGGCTGCCCATGGACTACTGCTCTAGCGAATAATCCCCTTTTCCAACATTCCATGTAGCAACTGCCTCAACTCCTGGTATAGAGATGGGGGAATAGGACGATACCTTTCTCGGGTAGGAGGTTTCCAGACCAGTTGGAATATGATGAAGGACGGCATTTGTCCTCCCAAAGTCCTCATCATGGGCTGGGAATACTTCTTGCCACTTTTCCAAAAGCTCATCCAGTTGTCTCTGTTGCGCTGTCGTCAATCCTTCGCCTTGGACCGAAAGGGCAGGCAGTGTTTCACCCCTTCCGTACTGGGCAGTCCGCACACCCACTTCCACTACCCCTGGAGACACCCTTTGTTCAGGTTACACTAGAAATCCTCCCACAAGATGTACTCTATTTCCCCTCAGTTTGTATCCATTAGCTGGGCCAGGTTCTTTGTCCTTTGCCTTCAGGTATTAAAAGGTCTCTGTACAGTACCTCTGTCACAATGCCAATGTCTCCCGTAATTGTCAATCCCTGGATTAATAGGTCCTTGCCTCCATGGTCTCTCCATGGAGCTCCCCAGGGTCATCTCCAGGGTCCAGTGGGAAATCTGAGACCCCTCTGTCCTGTCTTTTATTCAATTTCAATTCAAGGTGCTTTATTAGCATGGCCGATGGGTACAATCAGTGTTGCCAAAGCAAATGAAAGTAATGATATTTACATTAAACAAAACAAAAAATAGAAGTAAAATAAAATCTACAGACATATTACAGACATTTACAACAAAGACATATTATAAAATATAGCCCAATCAATTCCCGCCCTTTGATTGCTTCAATGGTCCACATCCTGTGACACAAGTTGTGTTCTTGTAATAGTAAAAAAATGCAGGTTAAGTTAGATCAGTGAAATAAAATCTGGGAATCCTTTTAACATATATACTTTAATCAATATTTTTTTTTCTTTTAGTTGACCTTTTTGTCGATATCAATATGACCTCAGGAGGTTCACATTATTTTCCTTCATGGTAACAAAAACAAATTACAAGATGCAAATAACAAAACAAAACCATCTTTTATTCAACCACCAAAACAGTCAAGTTGCATGACCTCTGACTTCCAAGCCGTCACCCACTTAAGTCTTTCTCAATATCCAATTAGCACTTTCTAACCTTGAGTTTCCACACACTGCTTAAGATACTGTACTATTAAATATCCAACACAACCCATGACTCTCATTGCTGTGGATATGATTGTGTAATATTCTGGGTCTTCTTTAATGCCAAATCTAGCAGCTCAATAAAAGATCTTTATTAGTAACCAGGCTATGTTTATAGGTTATTTCAGTCTGTCAGCCACATAGTCCTGTGTTTATGTAGAGCATCGAAAAAGGGAAGCCCTACAGTGCTGATAAAAGTCCGACATTCTTTGTCAACATAAATATGCAGTGATGTAATGCAACACATGATACAATCTCCTAATGCAGGAAGCATGTTTCAGCAATGGTCTCATTGTTGCTTTAATTTCAGGATGTCAGAAAATAGTTTACTGCTTATATACAATGCAGTGGTATTAAGACAAGAATTTCTGATGTTTGCAGCCAGAAACCAAGTGACAAATGTCCAGTTCACAAAGCATACATGTATGACTTTCTTGGTTAGAACCAAAAATGAGAACATGTCCTCACATTCCTTCTCCTCTGATAATTACTCCTGAAAAATGGGAGTTGTGTGGACCAGCAAACTGATCCTCGCAAGCCAGGTTTCTTTTTTGTAATCCAAAATGGCCAACGATCCAAAATGACCAATAACCAAAATTAAAATTGTGTTTTGTGTCCTCTTTCACTTTATGCTGAGTTTCATTTCAGTAAAGCACAGGATATAAAAAAAAGAATGGGAAGGAGTATAGACAAATAAATGTGTTAAGTAAGGGTTGTCAGCTTGTTATTGTTGAAGCGAAATCAGTTTTGTGATAAAAGTCATCTTGTAACTCTCCCTTCAGAATGGGTTGTCTCAGAAATGCAAAGCAAAATCACAGTGGGCAAGTTAAATCCTTTTCCAGAGTTCACATTTTGATTCTCTTTTCATTACCATTCTCTTCAAGCAGATTCACTTGGCTCTGCTACACCTGACTGTGGTTTTACCTGGTGTGGCATTGCAGTAGGAGCCAATGGGAATAGAAGGTCCGGCAAACTACATGGGTCAAATGAGCAATGTATGGACAAGCAATGGTTCTGAGAATCTGAGAGGAAGGGGTATGTTATTCAGGAGTGTGAAGCATGAGGTAGGTCTCTAGTCAAAGCTCCAAACAAGGTTAATGCTAAATGATGGTATTGTTTGCATTATATTTCTGTAATTATGTTTCTGTGTTCTGAAATCCTGCTGGCTCTTCACCTAGCTAAAAAGAGAGTATGTTAGCATTCATTGATTTCAAGTGTCCCCTAAAGTGCTAAACCAGGCTTATAAATTATTAATCTCAATGACAAGCTCTGAATGATATGATCTGAGCATTTGTAAGTTCATGACTTTCACTGTTGTGGCAGACACGAACCAACCTGCCAGTGAGATTGATATATACCTTTAAAGAGCAAAAATTTTAAAGGGCAGATCACATGTATACATTAGACCGTTCAGCTACACAATAGTCTCCATGTGGCTTTAGCATTAATTCTGGTAAGTTAATTAGAAGACCATGGGGGAGAAATGCAAGCACCTCTGTATTGTGAAGCTGATCACATGGAACTGTATCATTAACAGGACTCAGTGACTGCTCTGCTCTGTTCAGTTAATGATAGAGTTCATATGATCAATTTGCAATGCAAAACAAAAACACATTTAATCTGAACAAAGTACTTAAGCACTCCATTTAACAATATTTTCTATTTATTTATGTAAGTACAGACAAATGGCCATGTTCTTTTGAATACAGTAGCAGATCAAAGCTATAAAACTTTA